ACGAAACTCATTGAATCAGCAGAATCTGTTAACAGTACACTGCAGGAAACTGTACCATATAGTTGGAGTAAAATAACTTTTTTAAAATAAGAAATTCGATATTCTACGACACTAACTGCTGATGTTTGATTATTGCCGGTTCGACATCACGTCGTTGCTATTTTTAAGTTGTTCCCAGCTCACCTTGACAAAAGCACCACTTTTGTTCAACAGTTCTTCCTCTGTTTTTGAACAATTTCTTAACAAAAAGAAGACTTTTTGCTTTGAAATGGTAATAATTTTTGCAAGTTCTGGAATCGCATCCTTTTGCTATAGGCTCAATTTCGTCAACATTTTTATAAGAAACTCACTTACAAATTTTGTGATCTCAATGGAAAATAAAAAATACACTATTCAATAAAAAAAGCTAACAAGAATTCGCAAAAAGAGCTAATTAATAAAGCAGAATTTCGGATAACGACAATGATATAATAAATTTGATCATCAATTATACAACTCCTTTGCAGTTTGTTCTTGGAATGTGTCGTTGATACTAATCTACTAAAAAATTCCTTTCAGCATCTCGACTGCAGCCTCTACCTTATGACAACTAATTTGTGATACAGCCAGTGAATTTTTTTAAGAAAAACACAACTTTTTTTGGGTGGAGGTCTCACTTTAAAAAATTTTTTAGTGTATTATGCTTACCAAACTGCAGAATCAACTCTTTATCATACAGTTATCATACAGGCGCACCATCCTTTAGCTTAATTCACATATTCGATTCCAAAAATACAGCCCGTTCTTCCACTCTTTTTTTTTTCTTCTGTTCTGACGCTCAGTAACCGTTAAAACAATTTTATTATTTTTCTAATTTTTTTTAAAATCCTCACAGGGTTGTTACAAAATTCGCCTACGTCTATTACAAATTTTGAATTTGACGAATCTGACCTATCTTTCAGCGTTTCTTTCAGAATCACATCATTTAAGAAGCAGAAGCACTTTCTAGCAAGCATCTTTTTACATCTACTACCTTTACTGCAGAACTACTCGACGTACTCTAAACAGCGGCTTTTTTTTCGTATGCTGAAGCCACTTCTTCAGCAGTCTTCGTTACTTGAAAGGCTAGTTTCGATT